AAGATCGAAACATTCTGCGCTTCACAGTTTCACTTTCATCTGGCAGAATGGATGACGCATCGTTAAGGACATTCTTTTATGAGGCAATGGCGATTGTCAACAGCAGGCCTCTAACGGTGGACAACCTAAGTGACCCAAGCAGCCCAGAGCCCTTGACGCCAAATCACCTGCTTACTATGAAATCAAAGATATCCCTGCCCCCTCCAGGCACATTCATCAAAGAGGATATTTACGCACGTAAAAGGTGGCGGCAGGTGCAGTACTTATCAGAACAGTTTTGGTCACGTTGGAAAAGGGAGTATCTATCCAACATCGCAACAAGACAGAAATGGCACACTCCAAGGAGAAACTTGAAAGTTGGAGATGTTGTCATGGAGAAGATGGATGATCTACCCCGCAATGAATGGAGATTAGCACGTGTAATGGACACAGTAACTGACAAAGACGGACTTGTAAGAAAAGTAAGGATTTGCTTCGGAGAAAGGAAGACTGAGAAGGGACAATGTGCAAGTAAACGTTCTATAGTGGAACGCCCAGTGCAGAAACTGGTTTTGCTATTAGAGACTGTTTAACTGTATTCTAAAGTTTAAGGTTCAATGGAACTATGTGTTATCATACAGTTTAATGGTTACGGGTCATTTCTTCATTAGGAAATCATTATCGCTTCAGTTAATTCCCAGTTAAGCTCTTAATGATTTGGTGGGAGTGTAAATGACCTCATTAATATTTGGTAAAGTGTTTTGTAAACTTATGAGTGGCTATTATATTGTTGGAGTGAATGCTTTTATTTTGAAAGTCACAGAGCGACAAGGTGCCGTAAATCAAGTGGCGTAAACCATATGGCAGAAGCGCGAGTTTTAATGCACAGAGAGAAGGTGTGCTCTATGGTTAATGGACGGGAATGGGAAAAAGAACGGCTATTAAGGTGCAACACTGAGTCGAAAGCAGTTTCTTAGCACCTGGTTGATGAGGGAACAAGGTTTGTAACAAAGTTTGTCCTGTAGATATGTATTTTGTTGTTTTACGGAGCATATAGCTGCTGACCGCTACTAAGCATAAAGGCTAAGTTTTCACCCACTAGAGGGCGCTAACGTACCTCGTCATGTTTAGGCAGCGATGCAACGATTTCCCTGTTATATGCAATAATTTACAAGTTTTAGTGTTATTTGTTATGTAAGGTAAGGAGAATTAATTTGTGATTAATGAATAAGTCAAAAGGTTAAAGGTAACACACTGTTTGATTTACTAATAGTCTTTTATTCTGTATGTTGTAGCTCTTACGGTGTGTTCACATACACGGCTGTTTAATAAAAGGATTGTGAACCATCAGTTTGAGAGACCATCTTTTCAACCGGGGATGCTACAAATACAATACATCATTATATAATTATTATTAATATACTATATGAGTATAGTCAGGGGCTAAAATGGGATTTGCAGATTTGAGAACCCTAAGATCACTGTAGTGGTTATAGCAGTGTGTGGAAAGGAATCAGGAGTCACAATAGGCTCTATTGAGAGCTCCAGCAGATTTGTCTACAGGCTGTGATCAGCTGACCTGTGCTGTGGCTGTTGACCCGTTGACCTGCTCTTTGTGGATTTACACAACTCATCAGTATGTAAGTTATCATGTCTGACTTCCGTCTCCTATACTGCCAAGTGCCAACATACTGTTTATACCATTTTTTTTATTTTACTGCATAGTACACAGCTTGGATCTGGTATTGTGCAGCTTATTTTAAACCATGCATATAGACCAATATATACAGCATAAATGATTTACTGTAAAACAAACAGTGTAACGGCGGATATGTAAAGCTAGCTCAACAACACGTAATATAACTATTCTGTAAAATAGTCAGATGTCAGATGTCTATTCATATTACTGTACAGAATTCACCTGCTTGCTGCTACTACTGCACATTCACCCAATGTATATACTATATGTTCTCCCCCCCATTTTTGCACATGTCGAGGAGCGTGTCAGGCTACATTTCACTGTGTGTTATACTTGTAAAACTATGCATGTGACAAATAAAGAACCTTGAACCTTGAACGTTTGTGCTTTTATTTTGGTAACTTCCTGTGTGACCGAAAGTGAATGTTGTAACAAAAAAGACGCAAGAAAACGGTAAACAACTGCTAACGGAGAAAACTGTATACCGGCATAACATAACTCTTCCGAAATCGAGTTTGTTATTTCAGAGCAAACCTGTATTTTCCCCACGTCCCTGGCGCAGCCCACCACTTTCATACCGAGCCGGACCAGCTCCACGGCTACAGCCGCCCCCATCCCGACCGAGGCTCCGGTCACCAGAGCCACTCTGCCCCGCCAGCGCTCCATCAAAGACAGCCCTAACCAGCTCACGCACCAAAAGTTTGAAGAGAGGAACGTGCCAAGATAGATACCCCTGACAGAATTAGTTTCCTCTGCGTCGGGAGCGCGCACTAGGTAGAGAGAACGGATCCCGTTGACTCCGCCTCCATTCCAACCAACTAGACGTAGAAACAGTGACGAACTATCAAAAACCTAAAGACGAGTGTACATTACCGTTCAGTTTGTGGGTTACAACTGAAAATGATACGTTTATTGTTCTCATCTGTTATCAGCAGTGTTGGTCAAGTTACTTGAAAATAGTAAGTAGTTACTAATTACTGATTACTTATTTTTAAAAGTAATTAGTTACTTTGTTACTTAGTTAGAATTAGGTTAGGGTAGAAACAAATTTCCATAAACGATCCATATAAAATAAAATAAAAAACTACACTAAACATTGTTACATTATTATACTGATAAAAATGAACTTTGACACAGAGTCATGTGTACAGAGTTATAATGGATGATGAATTGCAACTCGGTTATAGAGTAACATAAACTGGCTGCTCGCCCAGTTTCTTGGTGTCATCTCAGCATGACACAGCAGAAAAAACCTCATTATCATTAACTTTATTTATTATTATTTGTGGCAGTAGTATTAGTTGCAGCAGTTGGAGTATTTTAAATTGGATTTCTCTTTTAGGAACAGTTGTGGAGAAATGACAGACATGCTTTCTCTTCTCTGATAGCTTCTAGAAAAAACAGATGTTGCCAGTGCCATCATAATATGTGCTCAGCGCCTCTCTGCATTTTCAGAGTCGTGATTTTCTCTTGTTTCATGCTTTTTACTGTGACTTATTGAACTTTCCTTTTAATTGCATTTTAAACACAAACACTTTACTCATATTAAGATAACACTGATATAAGCATGGCAATACTGATGTATGGAATTTAAACCATGGCTGGTTCTTCGTGAAGAGCACAAAATGTCCCAAGAAAACATACCTCTGAAGATCATCACTATTTTGCATTTCAAAGCTCTGCTTTTACTTCCATTACAATATTAACCACTACAGGTCATAGTACAGTCGTGGCCAGAATCTACTGCTCTTTGGTCAAGTCACACTTGAAAGGGACCAAAACACCAGTGTGGCCAGCACTTTGACACTCTGCTGCCAGTTTTTGAAACCAAACTTATATGATTTCTTGGTAGGCTAAGTTTTGTATTGACAACTCCTTTAAAAGTGTACTCTCTCAGATACCTGCATTTAATTATTTACAACAAATGTATCATTTATTACAACCAAAATTAACACTAGCAAACAGTTCTCTATTGCATCCTTGACAATGGAGCATTGTGCTTGCTGAGCAGTGTCAAATTGTCAAGACACTCAGCGATTTTGTGAGTGTTTTCAGAAATATTTGCATCATCCACACAAACTGTTGGAGAGTGCAGAAATCTGCTACCGTACAAAGGAACCACAAGAGAGTTTTTAGTACAGCACCATATACCTCCTTGCCCCGAATTTTACCTAGTGACTGCCAAAAACTTCCAGCAACCATTCACCAACTGGTTGGAGAACATATATTAATGAACAAAGGCCACTTACCAGTCTCTAGGGCATAGCTAATAAGAACAGTTTATTGTTAATTCTGTTGAGTTCAATTTCAGTTTAGGTCAGTGTGCATCTGAATTGAACAAAAACATTCTCAAGTCTTTCTTCATTCGCATTAGAAAAATTAATTTTGGTAATTTTCTCACAGTCATTTTGACAGTTCTGTTTGATGAAAAATTCAACTTTGACTTGGCTTTTTATCATTTTAGGATCACGTAGGAGTATGCTCAGTAATGGTTGGTGGTTTTTATTTATTTTTTCTTAGCAGAGGATAAATGGAGAGCAGTGTTGAGCAGTCAGGAGGTTCACACCACTTTGTTGTGGAGGCTGGATTGTGTGCCTGCACTGTGATACCAGCTACACAGCTTCAAAGTTAATGTTGCCAACCTGAAAGGAAAGTTATAGAAATATTATCTTATTTTGAGTAATCTGGTGATATTTACAATATTAATGAGCTAAATTCAATAAGTGAACATGTAAAAAGTTGAAAATAAGAGAAAACCTACAAACCTGAACATGAGGCGGGGCGCTGAGCACGTATGTGACAGCACTGGCAATGTCTTTTGGTTCCAAAGGCTGTCAGAGAAGTGAAAAATGCTTAATAACTTTTATCAGAGTAATCATATTAACAATCTATAAACTGTGAGATTAATAATTATACCTTAAATTCCCTGTACATAGCAGCTACTTTTTCAGGTTCATTGCTGTGGAGCCGTGATACAAATTCTGTGTCCACAAAACCAGGAGAGAGGCTCTGTAAATAACAAAAGAAAAACAAAGGTAAAAGAAGTGTGATTGTGTGTCGACTTCGGAAAGTATTGTAAATGTGTCTCATAGCAGCTGATATTGGCTTTAAGGGCACTTTTTGGGTTTATCAGTGTTCTTTAAAACCTTACCGTGGCTCTGATATGAGTTTTTTCTGCACGCAGCTCCTGCCTCAGGCCCTCAGTCAGCGCGGTTACAGCGAACTTGGTCGCCATGTAGAAATGTAAATCGGGAATGGGATAGACATGATGTCCACCCAGACTACAACAGAAGAACATTTCACTAGGTCAGCATTTACCAACATATTTTTTATCTGATTTCAGGATCACACCTGTGTTTTATCCTTGGAGGAGGAGTCCTCTTTACCAAAGAAATGAAACGAGTGAGCGCCACTGGCATCTTAATAAAATGTCACCCTCTTCCTCCTCACCTCAAACTCATCTACTGAACTGAATTCCAGGATTGAATATACAAAAATGTGCACAAATATGCCTATTTATTCCCAATATCGGGAATAAAGGCAAATCTTTTCATTCTCACTATTGAAAACTCCACAGTTTCCATTCACTTCAGGTTAAGAGTCTTGGCATCATCCTAGACAGCTTACTATCCTATAAATCTCACATTAATGATCTCACTTGTTCTGCCTATTTCCATCTACGCAACACGGACCGATTGTATCCTTCTCTGTCCACCCAGTCTGTATCCTTTCTTGATCATAGTATAGTTACATCCCACACTGTCTATTGTAATTCTCTCTTGCATGGTTTCCCCCAAAAATCCCTCCATAAGCTTCAACTGGTTCAAAACTGCGCTGCCCGCATACCAGCACATCATCCATATCCTTCAGGAATGTCACTGGCTCCCTATGAAATTCTGAATGGCATACAAGTTTCTTCTGATTACCTTCAAGACCCTTCATAACCTTGTTCCTCCTTACTTTTCTGATCTGTCAAGCACTACCTCTTCTGCCCGCTCACTTCGATCTTCTTCTTCTATCCAGCTTGCCTTCTTTCCCCCTCAGCACCATGGGAAGCAGAGCTTTTAGCTGCTCTGCTCCCAGCCTGTGGAACTCTCTACCTCCAGATATAAGAAACATTGGTTCTCTCCCCCAGTTGAAATCTCAACTTAAAACCTCTCTGTTCAAGTCTGCATGTTCGCTGTGAACTTATTGTTTGTATATTTTATCTTGTTCTTTTGATTGTTCTTTGTTTGCCATTAGTGTTACCAACAGAAGCTCATAATCTCAATCTGAATCTGAGCATGATTATATTCAAAGATACTTGAAAGATGTTTAAATCATCAGACTTCACAGGCATGGCCGTCGTTGATCATCAGTAAATAAAACTGCACCTGTTTATGTTTATGATGTGCCCATCATCCACATTTCTCTCTTTCATTGACTGATAAGCTTCACGTGCACACATGCTCAGTGCAAGGACGTTTACCTGCAAGAAACCATGCAGAAAAATAAAAAGTAAAAATTATTATAATTATTATTATTATTTTAATGGGCTAAATTGTTTTTGGTGTTTTGCTGCTGTAACAGAATAATTCCCCAACTTTTAGAGCTACATAAAAGTGATAATTTTATTTCATTCAATATTCTGCAAAGAAAACATTCCAGTGAATGTATTTCCACATACCGCACACAAAATATTATTGAAGTCTAAGTCAAGATAATTGTTTTCTAAAATATCTGAGCTCTTACGTCCATCATGTTCTTCCATCTGCTGCTTTTGCCATTTAGCAACGGCTCTGGCTGTGCCAGACCAGCATTGTTGATGCACACGTCCACGCCTTTGTGCTGATTTTTGATCGCTGCAAACATGGACAGAATCTCCACCTCTTTGGTCAAGTCACACTTGAAAGGAACCAAAACACCAGGATGGCTGGCGCTCTGACACTCTGCTGCCAGTTTCTGAAACCAAAAGGAAATGGCAGATGATAAGATTTAAGATTAGAAAGGTAAGAATTAAGATTAAAATCTGCGTTTTTATTAATTTCTTATTTTCTAGTGAAAACTGTAGAGACGACAAAAAAACAAACAAACTGAAATTCAGATGTTTGTCATCAGTTCAGTTGTGTCCAGCCTTCTTTTTCTGCAATGGAGTAAATTGAAATTGAAAGTGTTGTGCCACATCTATCAATGAATCTATTGATCATCTATCAATAATCAAGTTTTACACACAGTCTGTATTGCCGTGCGACAATGACTGACCTGTTGTAAAACAGGTTTAATTACAGTTAAATAGAACGACTTACAGTGGGGCAAAAAAGTATTTAGTCAGCCACCGATTGTGCAAGTTCCCCCACCTAAAATGATGACAGAGGTCAGTAATTTGCACCAGAGGTACACTTCAACTGTGAGAGACAGAATGTGAAAAAAAATCCATGAATTCACATGGTAGGATTTGTAAAGAATTTATTCGTAAATTAGGGTGGAAAATAAGTATTTGGTCACCTCAAACAAGGAAAATCTCTGGCTCTCACAGACCTGTAACGTCTTCTGTAAGAAGCTTTTCTGTCCCCCACTCGTTACCTGTATGAATGGCACCTGTTTGAACTCATCATCTGTATAAAAGACACCTGTCCACAGCCTCAAACAGTCAGACTCCAAACTCCGCCATGGCCAAGACCAAAGAGCTTTCGAAGGACACCAGGAAAAGTATTGTAGACCTGCACCAGACTGGGAAGAGTGAATCTACAATAGGCAAGCAGCTTGGTGTGAAAAAATCACTGTGGGAGCAATCATCAGAAAATGGAAGACATACAAGACCACTGATAATCTCCCTCGATCTGGGGCTCCACGCAAGATCTCATCCCGTGGGGTCAAAATGATCATGAGAACGGTGAGCAAAGATCCCAGAACCACACGGGGGGACCTGGTGAATGACCTGCAGAGAGCTGGGACCAAAGTAACAAAGGTCACCATCAGTAACACACTACAACGGCAGGGAATCAAATCCCGCAGTGCCAGACGTGTTCCGCTGCTGAAGCCAGTGCATGTCCAGGCCCGTCTGAAGTTTGCCAGAGAGCACATGGATGATACAGCAGAGGATTGGGAGAATGTCATGTGGTCAGATGAAACCAAAGTAGAACTTTTTGGTATAAACTCAACTCGATCGTGTTTGGAGGAAGAAGAATACTGAGTTGCATCCCAAGAACACCATACCTACTGTGAAGCATGGGGGTGGAAACATCATGCTATGGGGCTGTTTTTCTGCCAAGGGGACAGGACGACTGATCCGTGTTAAGGACAGAATGAATGGGGCCATGTATCGTGAGATTTTGAGCCAAAACCTCCTTCCATCAGTGAGAACTTTGAAGATGAAACGAGGCTGGGTCTTCCAACATGACAATGATCCAAAACACACCGCCCGGGCAACAAAGGAGTGGCTCCGTAAGAAGCATTTGAAAGTCCTGGAGTGGCCTAGCCAGTCTCCAGACCTCAACCCCATAGAAAATCTGTGGCGGGAGTTGAAAGTCCGTGTTGCTCGGCGACAGCCCCAAAACATCACTGCTCTCGAGAAGATCTGCATGGAGGAATGGGCCAAAATACCAGCTACTGTGTGTGCAAACCTGGTAAAGACCTATAGTAAACGTTTGACCTCTGTTATTGCCAACAAAGGTTATGTTACAAAGTATTGAGTTGTATTTTTGTTATTGACCAAATACTTATTTTCCACCCTGATTTACGAATAAATTCTTTACAAATCCTACCATGTGGATTCATGGATTTTTTTTTTCACATTCTGTCTCTCACAGTTGAAGTGTACCTCTGGTGCAAATTACTGACCTCTGTCATCATTTTAGGTGGGGGAACTTGCACAATCGGTGGCTGACTAAATACTTTTTTGCCCCACCGTATGTAAGCCTGACACAGCTGGAAGATCTTGTGTAAAATATACTTTGCACTCTCGCAGAAAGTCTGAGTTTTCATTCCAGCCTGACAGAATTAAAAATGATTTGCATATCAAAAACTATATGAGTCTTTCACTTCAGAACAAACTTGTATTTTTCCAACATCTCTGGCGCAGCCCACCACTTTCATACTGAGTCGGACCAGCTCTACGGCTATAGCCGCCCCAATGCCGACCGAGGCTCCGGTCACCAGAGCCACTCTGCCCCGCCAGCGCTCCATCACAGCTTGGATACCTGCTACACGCAAGAAAGAAAAACAAGTATGAAGAGAGGGACGCTGGGTCTCCAGGATAGTTACCCTTGAGCTCAAACTGTCCTTTAAAGCAAGCTATCTCTCTCTATATATACTGTATATATATATATTACAGAAAGAGGTTGCAAGTCTTGGTGCAGCCTTCACGCCAATGAATGGAAAGCAGTGATTGATTAAACACTTGTTATTCGTTACACTGCCAAGCTAAATCAAACAAAAGCTCTTATCTCAAGCTTCCATGTTATATTTGTTTTAGTACTCCCTGTACAGTTCTTTGTACCTTGCACTGCCACAATAACATCTACAGAGTAAGTTAGACCTGTTTCTTCACTTTAATGTGCAATAAATGGAGAATAATGTGTTTGTGACCATCATCGGTGTTTCCTCTCTAACACCAGAGACTGAGAAAGTGTCACTAAAAGAATCCTGAATCAAAATCTATGCTGCAACAAAGAATTTGGTAGAAGTTTAAATTTAAGGGAAAAGAGCAATATTGAATTGAATATTGTTTAGTTTTTATTCAAGTTTCTAAGCTTTGTTTTGTTTTTATGTAAACAAAAAATAAATAACTACATCCAACAAGACTTGCATTGTAAAGTTGAACACATAAATGCTGTTTTAACATAACACCGTAGTTTTAAACTGGAATAAACCTGGTCATTTATAAACCAGTTGTGAACAGTGAACTTTTTCACAGAGTCATATTTACAAAAATGGATGATAAATTGTAAATAATTGGTTTATTCATTTCTTTGCAGCAAGACAAACTAATTGCCCACCCAGTCTCTCTCTCATGTCAGCATGACACAGCAGAAAAAAAACTCCATCATCATGATAGCATTAGCAGTAGTAGAAGTAGTAGCAGTATTTAATCGGTCATTTAAATATATTGTCTTTGAGAACGAGATCTCTTTTTGAATACACAAAGACATGTACAGTTTAAGAGTAGACTGATAAACAGACACACATTATTCAAACACACATTATATATGCTCTTAAATTCAGAAAAACTTCACTTTACTTTTTAATATGTTTATGGCAAATCAGTCTCTGTTTAATTTGGTCATCCATGGGCATCTCCTGCTTAAATCAGCACAGAATGAGAGAGAGATGAGGCACTGAAGGAACTCTGAATTGATATCTATTCAACAGCAAAGATGGTGGTAGAAGTTTATCTTTTATTTTGGAGCATAGTCAACCATTGTTTCCTCTTCAATCAGATTTCACTGGTGATTCTATACATGCAGCTCCTATGACCAGTACAATTAACTTTAATTTAGATACTACTTCAAAATAATTGCCCAAATAAGTAACCAGAAGTGTTGCAAGGATGGATGCCAAGTTGTGAGAGTCACTTCTTCAAGACCTTTGGCGTCATACATAAGTGTAGCAGTTATTTGCTCTACCTGTGGGTTCATCTCATTATACAAAACAGCCCACCAACAGAATTTGCTATGCACACTACATAAACTTGATACTGTGTTCTCCATAAAGACTGCCTAGTAGGTAAATTTTCCACAATAACTGAAATGCTAGTCCCTGAAAACTTCACAGGCTGACAACAGCTCTTCATCTTTGGTCTGTTTGTGTCAGCATAACTGCCCCTTCACCTAGTACATAAAGGGGGAAAGGTTAATAACTAATAAACATTAGGCGTGTTAGTCATTTCATCTTGTATTGCTCCCTGCAGCTGAGTTTGTAACTACACCGCTCTGTGATAAGATCTGGTAAGTTAATCTCATTTGGTGTTAATTAACAACAGGTGCACTAGAGCGGCAATGGTGAAACAACCCGTGAATTATGGGGTTTCTGTTCAGGGAAACCTTTTGTGGTCGCAAATTTTGAAGCCATCATGATAATCTTCTCCCACCAACGATGTGGAGATCCAACCCTTTTAGATCCAATTAAAATCAAGACACTCAAAAAGATGCTCTGGAAAAGAGTAGAATTCTTGGAACAGAGTTTAATACACTGAATCATATGAACAGCAGGAAAAATACATACAGACATTTAGCAAGAGAATTACAAAGCAGAAAACAAGCAAAGCAAAACCCCGGGGTGTACAGCCTTAAGCACAGACAGTAGGACAGTAGGTCCTTAAAACATTAGCTGGACAGGTATCTGCTCCTTTGTGCAAGGAGGAACATAAAGAGCATAAATTGATACCGCCAAATGGCCCCAGATTCACCTGAGAGAAAACCAACAGAACACTTCAGGGACAATATATTTCTGTCCATGTGATGCCACCAGGTTGCAACTCAGGCAGTCCAGGACCTCAGTAATGCAGGGGTCCATACCTGGGAGTTCCCCCAGGATACCTCCCAGTTACCCAGTTGCTCCATGATTTCCACCCCCCCTTGACAGCTTATGTTATATTTGCTAAGTACTGTAAGCAGTGTCTGAAAGAAATGACACAGTTTTTCTGATATGTATTCAACCAAAGACAGGGTGGAATTTCCTTGGCTATCTTGTTAGTTATAGTAATTCTTCTGGGTGTTTTGTCTATGCAGATATAAAAAAAATGTATTATACTTACCTTAATTACAATATCTTTAAGTAATTTTATTGAAATTGTTGTAATTTTTTCAGATATTTTGCTTTTACCTTAAATATATTCTTTGTTTTTATTCTTATATAAATATTTGTGTACTGGATATTCTCCACAGGACATTTTTATTTAAATGTCCTATTACAAACAGCACATTAAATATCCTTTACCACAACAAGAGCACTGCAATGAAAGAAATTTCCCTGAAAATCCTTTTATTTTATTCCTTAGTGAAAATTATCAGTAAAATGTTATACAGTGTTTTCATGAGTACATAAAGTCAGTAAAAATTACATTAAGGTACATTAAGGTGACATGCTGCAACTTCTCACTGAGATGGAAAAAACACAGATATGGTAAATGTTTCACAGACTGTTTTGAAAGGAGGCTACAAATGAAAGATGCAACAGTTTCTCCTCAGGGATGAGAACATACACTCTGTGTATGTCTAACTGACATCCTCATCGACGGTTCTAACCAGATGAAATGAACACCTGCTCAACAGTAAAAATACTTAAATACTATCCAGCAACTGAGATCTGTTACAATAAGAAGGAAGCTGTCATTAATCAAAGTGTTTTCATGGGCATTCCTTGCTGGCCAGTAGGACGCTTGTAAAAAGGTACCACAGGGGCCTTTGATAAGAAGACAATTAGACAGAAAACAGCTGGATGAGTTTCCTTTATTTTATCCTTCTGTGAATTGATTACAATCTGACAGTGTTGAGAAGTAAGGAGAGCCGGTCACACTACTTTGATGTAAAGATTGGGATGGGTCTCACGGCCAAGTTGCATGACACCTGCTACAGACCTTCAAGAAAAATCTCCCCAATCTGAAAGAAAAGATAGATGAATGTTATCTTATGACTAAACTGCTGATATTTAAAATGCAAAAGACAAACATTCAAAAGGTCACAAAAACGATGAAAATATGAGACAATCTCAAACCTGAACATGAGGAGGGGCACTGAGCACGTATGTGATGGCACTGACGAGGTCTTTTGCTTCCAGAGACTATCAAAGAAGTTAAAAGTGCTTAATGACATTTTAGCTGAATAATCACATCAACAATACTGTAGGAATTGTAGGAAATGAAGGAAGAATAATTTTACCTTATAATCAGTGTATACAGCAGCTGCTTTATCAGAATTGTCTCTGTAGAGGCGTGATGCAAATTCTGTCTCCACAAAGCCAGGAGAAATGCTCTGCAAAATGACATTATTAATGAGGATTCTTCAAGAAGTACTGTGCGTGCATCTCATAACAGCTGACATTAGTGTTAAAGGTACTTTGGAGCTGGTTAAAGTGTCTTTCAAAGGCTTACTGTGGCCCGAATATGAGTGTTTTCTGCGCGCAGCTCCTGCCTCAGGCCCTCAGTCAGCGCAGTTACAGCATACTTGGTACAGGTGTAGAAATGTACATCAGCATTAGGAAACACTTGATGACCACACTGGCTGTAACAGACAGAGATTTACAAGCTGCTAATCAAATCAGCATTTACCATCCATCTGTTTTCTTCTGCTTATCTAATGCGGGGTTCTGGAGCATCGGGTACAGCAGAGACAGGTCCCAAGTCTGTCACAGGGTTAACACAGAGACACAGACACGATTCAACTAAACTAACCCAACTAACTGCATGTCTTTGGACTATGTGAGAAGGTGAGAACTCTTGGACACAAGGAGAAGATGCAAACTACACAGAGAAAGATGCTGGATTTGAACCCAGAAGTTGTGAGGAAACAGCGTTAACCACTGCACAACCATGCTGTTGTGCTGTAATTTGGCAGTTTCTATATAATTTCAAGTAGTTATTTGTGTATTAATTTCATTTGGTTATTCTGCATTTTTCCTTTGATGATTTTCATAGTACACTGAAAAATCTTTTGGTTCTGAGCTGCTAGTTGCCAATGAAAGCACTATGAAGATTTGACTTATGGCTTTAGGATATTGTTATTGACATTTTTCACAGCTGTCTGGCATTTTTTTTTATTCGATTAACCAGTAATAAAAGCAATCATTGGCCATAGTGAGGTTTAAATCAATTATTTTTTATTTATTTAGCCGCAAATCACAACAACGGTGCTTTATATAGTAAGGTAGAGCCTAGAGAGTTGGCAAAAGAAGCTCATAATCTCAATATGATCATGACTGAGGTATTTGTGTGATGATTAAATCAATAAACTTCACAAGCATACCCATCACTGTCCTTAAGTAAAATAAAACTGCACCTGTTTATGTTTATGATGTGCCCATCATCCACGTTTCTCTCTTTCATTGACTGATAAGCTTCACGTGCACACATGCTCAGTGCAAGAACGTTTACCTGCAAGTGACCAAAGCAGCTAAATAAATGGTAAAGAAAATCTCTGGAATTTTGTTTTTCTAAAATAACTCTGAGTCCTTAAATCCAACATGTTTTTCCAGCCACTGGTTTTGCCGTTTAGCAGCAGCTCTGGGTGAGCCAAGCCAGCGTTGTTGATGCACACGTCCACGCCTTTGTGCTGCTCTTTGATCGCTGCAAACATGGACAGAATCTCCTCCTCTTTGGCCAAGTCACACTTGAAAGGCACCAAAACACCAGGGTAGCCGGCGCTCTGACACTCTGCTGCCAGTTTCTGAAAAAAAAAAAAAAAAAACAGGACATATATATATATATCATTGCAGTATGAGTAAATTAATCATAATAAGCTCCAGCAGATTTCTTTGTGTACAGGTTGTGATCAGCTGACCTGTGCTGTGGCTGTTGACCTGAGGTTTACTGCTCTTTGTGGATTTGGACAGCTCCATTCATCAAGATGTAACCCATGCATATAGACCAATATATACCGCATAAAATGTGTTTTTCTTTATTTGTTTCTTTATTTTTTGCTTCTCTCAACTCTTCTTCTTTGAAGCGTACATCAATAGGATTGCCTTATGCAATTTGTTATTGCTCCATCCATTTCGGCTGAAATCGGTTTGGTGCATAGATGGAAATAATAACTCCCCTCAAATGTCTTTATCATAAACTAATGCACCTGTTTTAAGAATTAGAGTATTTATAATTTATTCACAGTAAAACAAAGGGTCTGTCTGCTCGACAGCCCCAATATGACGTTTGCCTGACAGAGCTTCATATTAAAAATTCCTTTTCATTAGAGTTTTACATTAAATAATCTCTGTTGAAATC